CTACAGTTTATTAATATCTAGCTTGGAAACCTACCATTTTGGTCCAGCTAATGCTAGTCTACTTCAGTCTTGATTTGCTTACATGCCGCAGCTGCTATGATTGTATACATATCCTTATGTTGAGTGTTAATATTTTTAATATGGGGCCAGCACAGTGTTGACAGTTGGCAGAATGACCAAAAATGGTCCCTTTTTTCTTATTTTAATTGGTCAGTTACTTGTATGTAAATTCTGCTGTCCTTCATCAAAGGACTTCTTCAGAATTAAGGCAACTGCATTCTCTGCAGTGTCTGCCATGTACACACAAAGCTAACTAGCAAGCTAACTAGCTAACAAGTTCACTAAAAATCATTGAACTTGAAAATTAAAGTGTAACACGAGGCAAAAATAATGTAGTATTATTCTATTACTTATGCATTAATCAACCACGAATTAAGTCTTAATTACATACTCATCTCATATTAATTCATCATTAATGACTTGTGACATCTTTCATCCCAAATAGTTACTATATTTGTTACTATATCTGTTAAATCTGTAAACCTTTGTGAACTACTGAAGAAACAATCATGAATAACACAAGTTTAATACTGATCTCATTTTTGTTCATCATTAATGAATTTTGACGCTTTTTTTAATCTCAAATAGCAACTACATTTGTTCACGAGTCATACTTAAGTAGTAGCTAAGTTATTACTTAGTATTTGTGTCCCGTCAAGTAACATGTTACCAATTAAACAAACGATCACATGAAAACTGAATGATAACAACTTTATGTACAATATTCCCAAATGCAGATTGCAAAAGATCACATGTACAACAATAAACTGTCACTCTGGGTTGCAAGGAAATACTTATTCTGTCTTGTGAAGAGAAACCTGGATTCCAGACGGGTCTAAAATTTCTGACTGCAGGTCCATCTGTCCAATCATCTCTGCCTAAGCAAAAATGTATGACTCTCCTATAAGCTGTGTCCCATTTCAGGGACAAAGGCTGGATTTGAGGACTGATGGATTGTTTGCGGCCCAACCTATCCCAGGATTTATTGCGTGAATCTTTTGAGGGACTTGGCCTACAAAGGCTATGCCGACTGCATCCTTCAAACGATGCAGCCCCTGAATTCAGACACAGCTAGACTCCCAGTGAAGCACAGTGTCCAGGTGGGCTCCAAAAACACGTAATCGGAGCATATTCACCAATAAAATTTTGTCTATTCTCCATTCAGACAAAGCATATGTGAGTCTTCCATAGAATCCCAGTGAAGCACTCTTCAATGGGCATCGATGGGCCATATTTATCCTGGTTTAAAAGAGAAAATTAACGTACATGTTGTCAAAAGCAATTCCTTTGAAACGATCCGTTTTAATATCAAATAAAATGAATTTACACGCCCTGCGGTGTGTTGGCTGTTGCCCAGCGTTGGTTCCCGCCTGCGCCCATTGTTCCTGGGATAAGCTCCGCCGCCCCCCCCCGTGACCCCAGTTGGGATTAAGTGGTTTCAGAAAATGGATGGCTGGATGAGTGGATGGATGGATCAATTTACATAGATACTAACTAATTCAAGTTCTTTTTGCAATTTTATGGGGGAAGCCATGCTTTCCGTTAGTGTTAGAGCAATCGCTCAGTCCATTATATTCTTAACTCACCTCCATGCTCTGACATTGCAGTACTCACATAATATTGATGATACAATATTTCGATGTTATTTTCAAAAACAATGCCATTCTGCTATTCTGAAATCTTAAAATAAAATAAAATAGGCCGAGCTGAGTGGAATAGGCTAACGGATAATTTACTCACCAAGATTTCAGAATACTGTACTAAAATGCCCCCAAATACCACAGTACCTGGAACCACAATCCACACCAAGGTTCCCACTGTAACAGACTTTCATATCAATATTTCAACCTTAATGTTAACATGCCTTGTGCAACTTGAACTGGGCAGCCTGTCGGACTCGGTCCACAAATTAATTTTTGTTTAATTTGTCGTCTTCTGTTTTTTTTCTCTCACTGAGATTTTCAATGACCTACATGAACATCTGTCATGGCAGCCCACGATCAAATTTTTGTCACTAAATCTTGGTAAAATGCTTTGACCATGTTACGGTAAGGGTGCTATATAAAACCCAGAAACTGAATTGGCCTGAACTATTTATAATAAATACTTTTAATATTGCGGTGACTTATATGTCCCTTAGGATCAAAGAGTCGTCCCAATGATGGAGTTAATGTCAGAATGAGAGATGCCTGCAGTGTTTATTGTCTCGCTTCTCCTCCATATCCAACTCTTTTTATTCACCGCCTGTTTTTTCCAAGCCCATTTTCTGTGTCACATGCACTTTTCTCCTCCAAATTCCACGTCCCATCCCTCCATCCCTCCCCTCTCTCATATTACACTACCTTCTGCTTTTCTCTTCCTCTACTTTTCTGCTCCCTTGTTTCCAAAGTAAATGTATTCGCCACACGCTCTATTTGTGTTGTCTGCCTTTCCCTCGCTCTTTTTTGCAAACTGCCTTCCCTCTCCCCCCCCCCCACACACACGTGTCCCTGCCTCAGTGGCAACAGGCAGAATCTTCTGAGCTCTGGAACATCTGGAATATCTGGCCCGAATGGTGAAAGGGCTGAGAAGCTGGAGAGGGGGAACGGGGGGGGGCTGGCCCGGTGGCTCATGGACGGGGGACACCTTTGTGTGGCTGTATACGCCCTATTGAGCCAGAGCCAGGTAAAACGCCTCGGCAGCACTTTGTAGCATTGGAGCCGCACATTTTTGTTTATGGTTGTATATTCAAGCAATCTGAATGTGAGATGAAAAAGAAAACTTGGGTCAACAATATCACCTCTTATTTCAATTCATCTTTTAGCTGCCGCCATAATGCTTGCAGGCAGGATAAAAGGGTGGCTATTTTTATGGGTATAAGCATGAGAGGAAATTAATAAATGGTAACAAACAGGCTTTTGTATCTCAGAGAAATTACCGGAGATAGGAGAGGGCACACATGGAAAGAGAGTATAGAATGAGACGGGAGTCAATTCCAATGGATACCCCCACATGACCTAATGCATGGGCAGAAAAAATACCTTAAATATTCTTCAGCATCTAAACAAACACACTGATTTGCATTAGAAATCCTTGAAGTTACAATAAACCACTGGTCTGATTGCTGCTTTTGATAATTTGTCTATTTATTTCTCAGTAAATATGTAGACATTGTGATTTGCCTTTTTGCGACCAGTTGTCACACTAAAGTGTATCATTCTGTCTGCCGTGTAGCAATACAGCAAGGTCCATTATGGCAAGTTGGATTCTGATCTCAGGGGCTTCCACTGTTTTAATTTCTACATTTTTCTTGGTGATTAACTGTGTCACTCCTTCCACGTCATACCTGTCGCTGCACATTCCCAACACAGCTACTGTAAACTGGCCTTTGGTGCATGCCTGTTCCAGACGAGAGTTGCCATCCCGTGGTCCTCATGACCAAACAGCAGGTCTGTCACATATTATCAGCCCAGCTTATCCCCCTGGAGTTGCAGCAGCCAGTGAAGAATGGAATCAGTCTTATACCAGATGGTTCAATTAAGACCGAGCTGTGTGGGTCAGTCAGCTACGCCCACAGTCAGTAAACAGAGAGCAGAAGCAGGTACATTTGAACCACATAACCCAACACTTTCTACAAAAGATCTGACCTCATTTGTAACCCCTATTAGATCCACTCATACAGTGCAAACCAAATCTCTGTTCAAACACTCTTCTGGCCGGTCTGCTTGCAGTCTGTATTTTAAATAAGATATGTGTGCTGAGGCTACATTAATATTAGCTAATGAAATGTAACCAGAAAGATGAAAACATATACTTCCTAAAAACAAGCTCTCAACCGGGAAGAAAATTCATTATTTGTATAGCTCGTATACTCGACTGATTCACGGTTTCCCTTTCATGTAGCTAATGAAAGAGTTGAAGGAAACAATAGCTTTGTAAAAATTGAGACCACTCTGATAAAAAAAAAAAAATGCATTATTAAATCCTGGTTAAATCCCGGTTCTACTGGCATAAGGCTACACAGAGAGGCAGGTTGCTTCCAGGCTCAAAGTTTCTAGGACAGCAGACAACAAAAACAAGGTGAAGCAAGAGACACTGGGAATGGCCAAAAACCTGCCAGGTAGAGGGCAGAAGCAACTTTCTAATGCCAGAGATGACCGTCAACTTATCTGACAGTCTTTCATGAATCATGAGGATGATATCAAGTGACCTGCAGAAGGAATGGGAAACATTAAGTGCAGGTGTGAAGTGCACTGCTAGGATAGTTTGTATCAGGCTCCTAGAAGCAGGACTGAAGCTCCATAAAGCAAGGAAGAAGCCCTTCATTAATGAGAAACAGGGAAGAACCAGGCTACAGTTTGCAGAAAAATATATATTATTCACAGCCGCACACCCATAAACTGAGAAATAACTGAAACAAAAAATTGTGCTGTGGTCCCTTAATTATTTCCAGAGCTGTATTTGCAACAGAAGCTGAAATGCTTATGAGGTCACATGGGTCCGTCTGGCTATTTTTAGGAGTTTTTGCATTACTTTAAGAAATAGTGATGCAAAGAATGGTGAGACAATAATGTATCTAATCTTGCTGTTCACCATTCATGGGAAGTATACTCTATGGGGTTAGAGGAGCAGCACTATTTGGAAATTACCAGAAAGATTCTTAGCCACAGCAACCAGACATATCACTTCCTTTTTACCACGTTGAATCTCAGTGTAGATGTCAGTCACACTGCAAAGACAACAGTAATTCATAGCTATGGCACTAATTTACACAGTTCATAATGCATTCAGTGTGCTCTAATGCAATGAAGAGACTTTATGCTCACATATATATTCATCCTGGTTCCTTCTTGGAATAAGTCGCGTACGTCAGCAATTTGATATGTCTTTAGGCATTAAAAGGAGCTACGTGTCCTCATTGCATTTCCGATAAAAAGTGAGCACACTTGCATGTGAAGAAGCTCACAGCATCATGGGATAGGATGTGGAAGCACTTTCTGCATTAATTAATGAATCAAGGGTGGGTTTGTTGTTTTTGGGGCCCAACTCCCCTAATTTTTGTGGCCAGCAGGGGGGCCCCAAGCTTCCGGGACCCCTCACAAATGTGTATGATTTGACTATTGGTAAATACTGCCACCACTCGGAATAACTATTACGTAAACTGACTAGCTAGCTGAGGTTAGCCTGGTACCGAGCACTGTTGCTAGCATGCTGCAGATCCCTGGACCCCCTGACGTTCTCACCTAACTCACTGCATGTTATACCAATTAAAGCAAGGTGGGGGGACGGCTGACTGAAACTCACTTGTCCAGGACGAAGTAGAGGTCGAATCCCCCGTAGCAGGAGGGTCCAGCTTCCCCTCTGTCTTGGCCATTTCCGGAAACCCTGGCAACCAGCACCACCAGCACAACCTCAAGACCCAGAGCGAGCCACGGAGCCCGAATTCCCGGGGCGGCCATCGGAGCAACTTCCCCCGTCAGCAGAATGAATCCCAAATTCCTTCCTCAATAACAGGCATAAAAACACACTTGAAGGGGAGCTTTCTTCCGTATCCTTTGCTGCAGGTAAGATCTGCCTGCTGAGCTCTTTTTCCTGGTCCTAGTCCATGGGTCAGGAGCAGAGGTCCAAGAGGGAACGTGATTGAGATGTGTTATTGTTTACTTTCACAGAGTTCAGCCCTAAGTGATGCTTCTGCAATGGATCAGTCTGAAGGGAATCAGGAAAGTGCTGATCAGATACGGACAGGCACACATATATTCATACGCACTCAATAAAACAAAGCCTTGCATATACACACATACACCATTCAAAACCCCTTGCAAAAACTCATAAATACACACATAATCACATGCACATGCATGCACACAATCCTAAATACACACAACACTCACCTACTTTACAGTCTTAATATCTTTTATATTGTTCTTATTGATGATAGCAGCACAGTGTTTCACTCCACAAGTTGCAGTCCCATAATACAGGAGACCAGAACTCTTTCCCAAATTTTTGCTTCGCCTCTGTTCTTCTCCTATTGGCTCAGTCTTGGGCCTTGAGGCATCGGGGGAATGAGTTGGAAAGAACACACTTGGCCCTGGTTTATCACCGCCCCCTGGTGGTGAAGTGAATCGGGTTTTTCAGGACGCCAAGTTGAAAGCCTGCTGTTGTCTCACCATTTTCCAGCTCATTAATTAACCTTGACATGAGATCGGCATGAATTAGGTTTCAAAAAAACTGTTTGTTGCAGATAATATCATACAGGTGACCGAAAACAGTTCACTATACACAGAAAGTGCCACCATACATAGAAAGATGCACTATTCAGGGTGGTTTAGAACAGTGATGGAATATTACAGGCCTTCTGGGCTGAAGGGTTTGCTGGTTCTCATCTCCTATCAGCTCTTACTTGAATTTGATTAAACTATGTGTTATAGTGATATTGATTAATGTTATTTTCATTCGTGTCACAGCAAACTTTTGCTTGAAGAATACATTTAAGTTTTGTTTATGTAAATATTATGAAACAGAAAAAATAAAACTGTATAAATTCCACCTTAATGAATAATAAAATGTGTTGTCAATCAATGATTAAGTAAACACTCCTACAGTAGTTTCTAAATATTACCATAAACAATTGACTAAGGATGTATGTGTTACGTCCCGCTCCGTCCGCTCCTGATGTGTGCCACGCCCCCCTAATTACCTGGTGTTTCTTCCTGATTGTTTTCACCTGTGGCTCGTTATCAGTGGCTTGTCTTTTGTATTTAGTCCTCGTCTGAGTCAGTCTTCCCGAGACTCGTCATTAATGTTGCCTTTCGTGCTCCTTCGTCCTGTGGAATATCCCTCAATAAACCCCGTTTGCCCTACCTCCTGGCTCCTCTCCTCTGCTTTCCGGATCGCCTACTCACTGAACGTAACAGTATGTTTGTGTACAGAAGGTCATGGGTTCAAATCCCATGGCTGGTAAAGTGAGAATTATGGCTTTGGACAAAGGGAGACCAGCTGACCTGAAGCCCCTTGCTTTCCTCATGTGTATGCTGTTTTTGTGCAGGAAGGATGCATGCATAATATGTGGTCAGTCTCAAAGACCTTCTGGCATGACCTATTTAAAAGGTGTCTGAACAGCTTTCCAAACTACCTTGGACACCACTGGGAAAAAAGTGCAATTTGTTTGTGCAGTGAACACAGAAAATGTTTTTTTCAAACAGATTATCCACCTCCTTTTGTATGGGTCTCTTGTCCTTGCCTAGGAGATCAAAAGTAAAATGATGAATAGTTCAGATAACCAGGGGTACTGTATATTGCTTGATCGAAATCATGTTTTTTTTCAGCGCTGAGCCATTTTAATGCATAAAAATGCCCATGTCTTTTTACGGTGGCCCACCGTGCACCATCGTGCACCAGAATAAACCTGACAGCTCAGCTGGGTGGAGGGAGAGTGGGGGGGGGGGGATCAACTGTGCGGCACGATCCCATATTATACAGGGCGGGTGGTATCTCCAGGTGATGGTGTTAAAAGTTGTCAACTGGGGATCAATGGTATTGAAAAATCTGACACCAAAGCAAGCTGTAATGATATATAGACAATATATATTTTTACTTATCTGTCTTTGGATGAACGCCTTCATTAGATAATAAAATTGAAATAAAATTTTTAAATGGTGTACTTGCTGGGTGACATTTTGATTTCACTTGCACGCAGCGTGCTCCTTCCTTAGAAGTACTTGCGCCCCCTGCAGTGCTGGCACAGAACAGCTCAGAACAGAATAACTAATGTTGGGGGAGGGGAAGGCGTCAAGGATGCTGTTAGGTTGGCACGGTGTAACTAAAAAATTGTTAATAGGGCTGACAACTTCTGTTCAATCACAATTAATTGCACATCTTTGCGATTAATCACATAAATAGTCATGTTACAGTACCATCAAAAATTAAAAGATTGCGCAGTCTGTATATTCAGTATATAAATTCTATTTAAAATCTTTGCTTACACTATTCTCCCATCAGAATATCAAATTTAATGCAATTACAGCTGACGTGATCAAAGAAAGAATAATGTGTTGTGACTTCAAAGCACCTGTTTTATAACATGGTACTGTTTGATATTGTGAAATGTATATTCATCTATTGAAATCTGCTAACGGGTTGTGCGCCGTGGCCTGATTGACCTGCTGGAACTGGCACTGAAGAGCGAAGGAGAGATGAACTGAATTGCAGTGTCTCACTGTGATTGTGGTCAGGTGCTAATCTTCACAATGGTACGATAACTGGAGAGAAATGCTTGATCTCTAGAACCTGCGAAAAATCATGAGATTTTCATTAAATGAGTTTTCACTTATCACTTTTCACAGAAAAAAATAAGCTTAAATAACGAATTCATCTCAAATACTTTTACTCATACAGGTGGAAATTCATCATAACAAGCAAGATCACTAAGGACTGAAGATTCATTTTCAGTTCTTGGCACATAAGGAATTAAAAAAGTTACCATCTAAGAATTTCAAAGCCTTTAATGAATAAGAAACATTTGTGAAGATATTATGCATTTTTCAGTAAGGTGATAAATAATATTCCCGTCCACGTCACTTTGCAAATTTTTTATGTTTGTGATAGTGACCCCTGCTACTATTAATGTTACTACAATTGCACAAATTTTTTTTTGTTTCACTCATTTCTTAATTCATGTACAGTTTTTAGAGTCTGTATTGGACTATATGCATTCTGCATAAAATCACCAAAGGAGGCCACCAAAGAATTATATGTAAAATTACAATTGCTTAGGAAAACACAGTGCTTGCATTAGAATATATAAAAATAAACAAAACAATAAAAAATAACCATTTCTAATGTTTCCCAAATAGTTACTGATTTCTTGCTGAATGGGTTGAAGATGAACCCCTCCCAGGGGCACCCCAGTCATTTCGTGCATTTTTAAAATTTCACCACCAGCTCAATTAAGTGATTAATTCATTTAAGAAGCATCGATTAGCCAAACTGGGCTAACGGTTCAGTGCGACAAATACACAAATAGCATTTTAAATACAAATAAAGGGCAGCCTGGAGAAGGAGTTTAGAAAGGGCTCAGCTGAAATACTTTGACAGGCTTCTGCACATTACAGTAGGGCCTGATCAATACTGTTGAGATATTGACTCCAGCTCACAACTGTATTATGCATCTGAACAGTAGTTCACAACACAAACACTTCTTCGCGTTGATGTGCAGCTCCCCTTTTTGCAGGCTAATGGCTCCATTTGGGAATTACATCACTGGCATTCAGAGATAAGCTCTCTCACTTGGAAGTATACTCGTCCATTGTGGGGTTAAATGATAAAAATGGATGATGGGGGTGAACCTTTTATATCTCTTATGTGAGTGAAACTACAGAGAACAGTCTAGGGAGATGGTAAGGGGGGTGGTATATTTTCAAAAGGTTTTTTTTTCAAAGGGTTTCACTCATTTTTTTCCCATGGGGAGGGCGGGGGCGAAATCTGCATGCATTTCACAATAACTCCAGCCTTGTACATATCTACAAATATGTATTAAAGGAACACCTAGAGAATTACTCAGTTCATCAGTATAATGTTACCAAATGCTGGTTTATTTGTAACATAAATCCATCAACAGCACCTGATACACACAAAACCATGAGGACAAACTTTAAACTAATACTTTACAGCTCTTACATGATCCAATGTAATACAACAAGGCAGTAAACCATTGCTTCTGTATGAGTTATATAACAGCATTCCTTTGTAGAACACCATGGCAACGTCTTACTTACTGCAATCTGAGTGATTGGTAGGTACTGGACCTCAGAGAACCTTCAAGAGGACTGTTTTTCTGCATTTTACACACCCATTTTTTAATGTGATAATGTTTAACATTTTACCATTTCTAATGCATGGGATGTTATTTTCTAAAATATCATAAAAACAAAATAATTAAAAGCAGATAAGTAAAATGGGGTGGCACAATGATGGTAATTTATTAAAATTAGGTTTCAATTTGCCATCCATTCAGTTTGTGGTCATTTTTCATGTCTTGAGTGTTTAAGCAGAATGCGAATGTTATTTTAAGCAAAAATAACATAATAATAAAGATAATTGTGAAAATTATGGAATGCGAATGACATGAAAAAATATTATGATAAAACATTTTTCCAGTGGACACTTTCACACCAAAATACCGGAAACTGGATCCTGGTACACTATATGGAGAACAGCATTGGGACACTACTCTTAATCATTGAATTCAGGTGTTTCATTCAG